GGGAGGAAAGATTTAGGTTGGATGTCAGGGGGAAGTTCTTTACAGAGAGAGTGGTGAGGTACTGGAACAGGGTGTCCCTGGAGGTGTTCAAGGTCAGGTTGTTTCTTGATTACTGATATAAGTTTGTGTGCACTTTTATAGAAAGCTATTTATTATGACCAATGTGAATGATTCATCAATTTCATCATCAGCTTCTCCACAAACCTTTATTCAAATTCTTTGGTTCTGCTGGGAAAGCGCTGGGTGCTAACATACAAACCCAAAAATTCATGACAGGTTGTTTTTTTGTTTGCTTTTTTAAACAAACCTGAGAATCGGTTCCACTCCCACCAAAGGATCTGTCTTTAAATTTGCTGCAGATCTTGCAGCAGTCTTCTGGAAAAGACAACTCTAACTGAGCAACAAGACAACATGCACAGTAGGAGCACCATTTGTCTCTAGAAGAATGCTGCCACCACGTGGACTGACTGAAGTAAGCAGTGTGATGGATAACCCTGGATCCACACATACTGTTTTTTTCAAATTTTATGGTGTTTCCTTATTTCCTCAAAAGAAAATCACAGAAATCAGAGGCTGATAAGCCAAGCAATGATGTCAGCTGCGGAACTCTTGCTATGGCTCTGGATACGATATCTGTGCTCTGAATTTTCATTTTCATGCAGGCAATCAGTTTATCAAAGCTGCATGGATAAATGATACACTCACAGCTTCCAAAGATTTGAAATCTCTATCAGGACATCATGATTTTAAAGAATTAATGGAGCCATAGTGGACCATGGTATATGTTATGGTAAGATGGAACAGTAATACTATTCAGGCTGCATTTCTAATGAATATCTGCTGATGCTGTTTTTCAGATATAGCTACTTCAAAATGCTTAGAGTACAACATTTTCTCCATATAGACAAACCTCTAGTTCCAGCATCTGTGCAACTCTGTGTCTGAAGGGCCTGGAGGTGGGCAAAACAGTGGACTCCAAGCTCAAGGATAACTGGCAAGCCTGGGGAACAGCAAAGAGACAACCCTCTGGCTCCTGATCTGCACAGAGGCTGGAACTGACCAAGAATTTCACAATGGTTGGAAGGGTGTGAAATGGCTTTGAAACTTTAACTATGAAATCTGGGAGAGAGACAGCTCAACTGTTGTTAATCAACTGCTGTTAATTCTGCTGAACCTAGAAACAAAAAGGCCACTGGTACTGGTAAAACTTCTGCCTCAAGATAACTTAGCCCAAGATTTCATATGGGGCTCAGGATTCTTTTTACCCTATATAATGACACCACATTATTCAGTTACACTGAATTTCCATTTTTTTTTTAAATTTCTCTTTTTTTTTATAATGCTTCCTGAAAATCCAAGTAAGCCTTATAAATCATCTAAATCTACAATGCTTCTTAGCAATCTTCAGTGGAAGCTGACAAGGCTTAAAAGATTGCATACCTCTAAAAAGGAATCCAGCTTCAGGTAGAACCAGTTCTAAATATATGCAGGTACAGAAAGCACAGATGTACACCTCTCTCTGCACTTCTCTGGCAAAGATGAAAGGCCAAGTGTTCAGGACAACCCACGGGAAAACAATAAATCAGAAGCCTTTCCTGAAACATGCTGCCATTTCTCTAACCCTAACCCATTATGCTGATCTGATGCTGTAAGAGGATGAGCACGCTGAACAATGTGCCATCTACACATGCTAACAGAATTTATCTTCTGAGTTTATGATACGAAATTCTGCTGATGTATCTGTGTTACCTGGATGTGAAAAATTCGCCTGGTGTTTCTACAGCTCTGGTCCACTTAGATTCAGGTTTTAGTTTGTATCTCTACAGTACTCTTCCAAGCAGCCTTTCCCTCCTGTACTCTACTGATAAAATTTCAATTGACCAAGTCCTACAGTACAGATACGGCTTCTGTGAGGTACTGCAGGAGATCAGAGCGAAACTTTGGTCCAATGTACTCAGTGGACATCTCCTTTAAATGGTGAAGCAAATGCAAGCAAACTTGAACTCTTCAGTACTACACATACTTAGTATCATCATTAAATAGTAAAGCAAAACACAACAAACCTGAGTGTTCCAGTATCTGCCTTTTTGACTTATGCCACAGTGGCATCTCAATAAAAAATAAATAATTACCAACAAGTTGGGCGCAACAGATGCATGCACACAAGCATGCCTTCAGCCTGTCATCTACACTGACAGAGTGACTATGGACGGTCTTCAGAGAAAGCTGAACACATGAGGGATCTTGTATTTCATAACATGTGTATAAACAGATGCCCTCCAAAATACACTATGCCCACATTAACTGGTGCATCAGAGCAGAAGCGAGATCATGAAGGAGACAACCAACAGACAGTGAAAGAGAAAAGAACCCTCAGAATTCCAACATACCTGAATCCTTAGCAGAGCCACTAGCAGTTCACTCTGTGGATGACTGGGTGTCACAGGTCCCCAGGCTGCAGATGAGGACTTCAAGGTCACATGTATTCAGAAATGAACTGCACAAGAACAGAAATTGGGATAGATGGATCATGAATGCATACAATTTCAGGCACCTCCTGAGATCCCCCACTCTTGCTGATAAGGAAGCTCTAAACATGGGATACCAAAACCTACTAAGAAGAAACCTACCCCTAAGCACAGGTCTGAACTGACTTTTATAGTTCCCCCTTGCAAAGACAAGCTAGAGTTCCTCTGGAAAGAAAGCATCAGAAGCAAACGCCTTGCTTCAGTCAATTCATCTCAGTTTACTGCCTAATACCTTCTTTTCAACTCAAAAAGAAAACAATTAAAAACAATTTTCTGTCTGTCACCAATTCTACAAGGCAGAGTGCAAACATTACTATAAATACCTTTATTTAAAAAAAATACATTTAACAAGTTCTTGTTAATCAACTATTTTACAAATTAAACAAAAAAGGGAAAAAAGACCTAAGTTCTACAGATAACACCAAGCTTGGTTCCCTGCTGCAGCAAGCAAAAGCAATTACTCTAACAAGCAAGCCACTTTCCACTTAAAAACATATCTGGAGTTCTTGCTCCTTCTTGACCTTTGGGAAGGCTGCTTCTGAACATCAGTGCTCTGGTGGCTAGAAATATTATATTCACATGCTATTAACCTTAACATCTACATTAAACTATTCATGTATCAACAGCACTCTTAACCTGAATTTATTCCCTTCATAGTGTTCAGCTCAGTGTTCCAACAGGCAGCGGAAGAGGTGTCTGTTCTGGAACATTCAAGAGGCCAAATGTCAGCACAGACCCTTCACCTCCCCACTTGCCTCCTGCTCCCCTTGGTGCATCCATTCCCTTCCACCCACTCACTTGGGAATGGCTGACACCATACCAAGTATCCTACAGCTTTGTTCATAGGGAAGAGTAACTTCTTTTTCCAGATCACCACTGGTCAGCCTTCGCTTTTTTCACAATGAAATATCTTGAAACTACCTAGTGCTGTTTTCTCACATCAACCTCTTTATCAAGTAGGTCCGTAAGTCTGTTTTCAAGACAGATCTTTAAGTAACTCATGTTATGCTCTCCCTTTACACCCAGGCTCGATGATCCTTCCCGCAGTTTGTCTCTAGTTACTCTTTCATTCCAGTGCTATCCCTACCTTCTCAGCACAGGTACAGCTCTGCTGCTTTGCAGTTGTCTAGAGAAAAAAAAAAAAAAAAGGAAAAAAAAAAAAAAAAAAAAAAAAGGGAAAAAAAAAAAAAAAGAACTATCTAATTTCCCTTAAAGACAGTAATTCCTTCATCAAAGACACTTCTAAGGACAGCTAAAAAAACCACTTCTGGCAAAAACACGCACTACGTTGGAGTGCCATTTACCTCACACCTTCGGCTTTCCCTCCCGCACCACCGTCGGACAGCCGGGCAGGGACAGCCGGGCAGGGACAGCCGGGCAGGGACAGCCGGGCAGGGACAGCCGGGCAGGCCGCTCCGCCGACTCCTGCCGGTGCAGCCTCTCCCGCTCCCGCCCGGCAGCGCCCACCTCAGCCGCGCTCCGTTCCGTTCCGTTCCCCCGCGGTGCCGCCGCCACCCCCCGCGCTGCCCTGCGGCCTGCGGACCGGCCGCGCTCCCCGCCCACCCCTCGCGAGGCCTTACCGCTCCCGCCGCCCGCGCACGGACACACCGACGGCCGCCGCTCCTCCCTCAGCCCGACGGACGCGGCCTCCGACCCCACAGCCCAGCGCCGCCCTACCCGCCCGGCTCCGGCCGCTCCTCGGCCCGCACAGAGGAGCAGAGAGGCGGCGGAGAGGCGGCGGAGAGGCCGCGTGCGCCCCCTGGCGGGCGGAGGCTGCGCGGCGAAGGCCGCCGGGGCTGCGGCGGAAAATGGACCCTCGGGGTGGGCGGCGGCTCTGGGCCTGTAACAAAGTCGCTCCAGAGTGACGGCACCCAGCTGACTTAACAGCTCACTGAAGTCATAAAGTCTAAATAAAAAGCACTGCGAAGGCCCTCGCACTGGAGTCTTTGTATTATTAGCGAGCAGGCTAACTCTATCCTTACGCTGAGTGTTACCTGCAGCTTACTGTTGCTCTGGGAGAACGTAAAATAAAATATCCTGAAGCACCCTGCTAAAAAGCATCCATCACAAGGCTGCAGTAAGTTCAGAGCACCCATTCAATATTTGCTTTCGCTTCCCTAACACCTTGAAGTTTTTTTACTCCCTACCTTTCTTTTTCAAGGCTTCCAAAAGGTATAACAGCAGAATTGCCCAGATGCAGACATTCCATCGCACATCCTACACTATTTGCCTGGTCTGCCCGTTGCATACAAGTTGAATCATTTTTGTCTTGATTCAACAGATTGTTCTTGGTTTTCCTGCTAAATCCTATGGCCGCATTAGATTACCTATTTGAATAAGAATTCACAGCATTTCTTATGAGTCAGCAGAAAATATTTGGCATGTTTTCACAGTCTTTGGACTGCACTCAGTTAATTTCAGCCACCTCAGAAGAAAGACTTGTAAAGAGATTCTTGGGGATGCTAATGGAAAAATCACAAAGACTCAAATTTTCCCTTCAAACGAAAGTGTGCAAGGATACATTTTTCAAGCACATTGCAGAGACAGACAAATAGGAATAGGAAGCCTTAAGAACCTTAATATTGCTAAGTTAACTAAGTATGGTTTAAGATTTAATATGAATTGTCTAACAACACAGCTTGGTGAATGAAGACCTAAACCTGTTTAAACTTGCTGTATAAAACAAAGCATAGCATACCATACCATCAATACTTCACACAACACCATACCTTCACTTGCTTTAACAAACAACTACATTCAATCATCGGCTGTTAATTTCTTACTTTACTTAGTTTTATTGAATAGCCAGGCACTGCTCTGGTAAGACAAAGCTGATGAGCTTGGTAGTTTTATGTTTTTATGTTGCCCTTTCCAAGGCTGCTCTCCTCACAAAAATACATAAGAAGCACTCACAGTCCATCTTGCTCCAAAAGCTAACAGTCAAGGAGGCATTTCACGGTATGCCTAAGACAGAATAATTGCCTCAAATCCAGTGCTGCACAACTTAGTTTTTGTTTCATTTGCAGCATCTCCACTTGTCCTGCAACGAGGCCGCTGAGGCACATCCCTCAGTCTTCCTCAGATGCACAACAAGACTAATTGGGAAGTGTTGTCTCCCTTATTATCATTTGCAACTTGTTTGTGAATACTGAAGGCCACACCTAACCCACAATATAATTTCCAGCTCTCAGAGTAAAGAGCACTTCCAAGAAAACGGCAAGAAAACACACCACACACATTAGTTGGCTAGCTTATGAAAGAGTTGTTAGAGATCACCTTTGTGCTTTTTACTGTACATTTTCTAAATAAATATTAAGATGTACTTTATTTCTGAGTGTGGATTAAGTTTTGGTTTTCCCTTTTAAAATTATTTCCTCCTTGGCCAATTATACTCTGTAAGAGAGGTATTTCTTTTCTTTGCTTTACATTATTCCCTTTCCATTTATGAATTAGAAAAATCAACATTTTTTTTAGCTATTTAGCTATTCAGGAACTATTAGCTATGGATCCTGATTAGAATCATAGAATCTCTCAGGTTGAAAAAGACCTTAAAGATCATCATGTCCAACCATGACCTAACCATACTACCCTAACTCTAACAACCCTCTGCTAAAGCATGTCCCTGAGCACTGCATCCAAATGTTTTTTAAACACATCCAGGGATGATGACTCAACCACCTCCCTGGGGAGCCTATTCCAGTGCTTAACAACCCTTCTGTAAAGAAGTGTTTCCCGATACCCAACCTAAACTTACCCTGGCACAACTTGAGGCCATTTCCCCTTGTCCTGTTACCTGTCACCAGTGAGAAGAGACCAACCCTGCCTTTGCTGTAAGCACCTTTCAGGTATTGGAAGAGAACAATAAGGTCTCTCCCCTCAGCCTCCTTTTCCCCAGACTGAACATCCCCAGTTCCTTCAGTCTCTCCTCATAGGCCATATTCTCCAAGTCCTTCACAAGCTTGCTGCCCTTCTTTGGAACTGCAACCAATTACAGAGTTCTTGATTTGATTGATTGAAAGATTGATTGAAAGATTACAACCAATGCAACTTGATATTACATCTTTTATGTGTATAGATATGTAACAAATTTTGCAAATAGATACAAGTCCCAAACTAATGGAAAAAGTGAACACGTAGCCAAACCTAATACTGAATCCAAGCACTGTAAACTACAACGGCTGCATATGGATATACACACATGATCAGTCCAGGTGTTCTGGCTTTCTATAAACAAAAGTCTCACTCAGAAACATTTGCAAAAAGCAAGTAAAATGAAGGAAGTTGTAACTACACCAAAACAAAAAGAAAATTTTTATTCAGGTGTTTTTTGCCTTTCTCTTCCCCCAAAATTCAAATTGATCTCCTTTTCCTACCCAAAGATATTCACATTAAACTCATTTGGAGTCTTTCTATCCCTTAGAAAAATGCAAACAGCTAAACACCACTAGCAAGACACACAATGTAGAGACAATTTCTTACTAACCTGTTTCTGTTGGATGCTGGATTTTTTTGTATTTTCACGGATTCAGGCATCTCAGCCTCCTAAACAGATTCAGAAGTTTAACTTACAGTAAGCTTAAATGTTCCCCAGGTACTCAAAATATGCCGAGCAAATCAGCATTCAGTTAAATCCAATAGAAACAAAGTAAGAAAAGATGTATTTACCCTCTTCTCATAATTTTGTGGATAATTACAGCTTCCCAAGTAGTATCAATATCTGAATATTAAATGGGCATTCACCTTCCTAATTAAAGATTTACTGAACTTCCATTACAAATAAGCATAGAAAAGAGAAGATCAATACTTTTCCTAAAGCGATTGTTCTTCTCTTCTACTTTGCTTATAGTTTAAAGCTGTGAAATAACATGTTGTTCTTTGCCTCATTGCTCACTGATCAGCAAGGTTCTAGGTTTTCTTTCCTTTTTTTCTCTCACATATTTTCAGAAAGCAAACATTCAAAGTGTTCAGATGTCACAGGCTTAAAGAAAGACCTTATTAATGCTAGAGATTATAAAAATAGCAACTATCTATATATATTTAGATTCTTAGTCCACACAAAGCCTACACAAAAGACTACAGAAGTATTTTAGCTATAAATCAGATTTGAACAACGGGATTTGTTGTGGAAGATCAGAGCCTTTGGCCTTAGACGTGCCCGACCAGCTAATGAATCTGCTGGATACTGAGTGTAGTAAGTAAATGGTACATCCATGTTCCTTCCCAAGCTCGCTGCTGAGTGTTAGTCACTTCTCTTGCTGTAGAAAATAAAGAAACTGAAATACATTTCCCTAGGTAACAGTCCCTAGGCTAACCTGCTTGAAAGCATGTCTGCTGCACTTGGCTGGAGACAGACTAATCACTTTTGATGATTCCCTATGGCTATAAATTACATTTTACTCTGATTCTTTCCTGAAAGCACTAAGAACTAACCTGTTCTGTGTGCAAAACTGTCCACTCCCCTGAATCATTGTAACTCTGGAGCGTTGCCTTCACCATCCTTTGTAGCACCCTGAAAAAACATTGAGGAGAAGAAACAGCATAAAGGCAATCAGCCAAATCAGAATTGTCCATCAGGTTCATTTTATACAGTACATAAGTAAAACAGTTGAAAATCTGTATCAGAAAAATTCTCCTGGTGAAGAGAGGTAAATGAGAGGGAGGAAGGGAAGGCCCTTGAAGTATGTAATTGGTTAGAGCAGTTCTTTTGATGCCAAACAAAATGTTCTGCCAACTCCCACTTCAGCAGGAATGGACAGGGGTAGGAAAAGTGTGATATGGAACACCGAAAGTGTGATAAGGAAAAAGACAAAATAAGTCTAGATTTCATTATTTAATCTTTTTCTTTTTTTTAATTGCTATAAAGGTCACTAAGGAAGCTTGTTCCAAGATAGATCTGGAGGGAGTTATGGGCAGATGGAAGTGGACTGAAATGTAATCCCCCCTTTCCCCAGCCCTGCCATTGCCTGACAGCCTTAGTTTTCCTGCAGAAAGAGCAATTTCAGAAATGAACTCAGTGAAGTACTTATGAGAGAACAACCTGCCAGCTTCTCATGGTGTTAATTTCAAAGCTGACCTTTGTGGTTTGGTTAGTAGGCAATTTTATGTAGCGGTTAATCTCATTATTGCCAATATGGATGTCAGCTGAGCAGCCTACTTCTGGATGGTCACAAACACAAGAATACAGCTGTACATATCCGCTCCAATATGGCCATGCTTGATTCAGACCATAGAGCAACCAGTTTTGGCTTAGAAAGGTGAGGGTTTTTTGTTTATTTCTTTAGACCTGGACATGTTGAGCTGGGTCTTTTTAATGCCATGGTGAGGGGAAAAAATAAAACTAGTCAATAGATAATACTGTGAATGGCTATCCCAGCAGTTTGAATTTCATTTTCATTTCCTAAACTTATGCCAAACCAGATCATCTAGTTCTGGCAAGAGGAAGGCTATGCTTCACAGACAAAATTCTTGCTAGCCCTTGGGATCCAAGTTATTCCTTTGGGATATTTTTAAATGATAGTAGAAATAGGAACCTCCTTTTCTATTTGGTAGATCAATTTCTAACCAGGAAATGGGAGACCTGGGCCTGCAGCTCAAACCAGTCCACAAAACTGTGCTGTATTTTCAGTCACAACCACTGGCATAATTGCTTCGAAAACCACTCTTTTAATCTGTTTATATTGTTATAAGATACCATACGACCTTTTTAATATACCATTTTACCTTTGCTTTGTTTGTACGTCTTTTGTAGAAACTTGCATCTGTCCTTCTGCTGGTTTAATCTAATCACTTTTTACATCCTGAACTGCCTGAAAAGATTTACAGATATATATATGTGTATATACATGTATATATGTGTGTATATACACATATATGTATGTGTATATATATAAATCACAGAAATAGTGTATTAGCAAATATATTCCTTTTCACATGCACAAGAAAAGACGTATGAAAACAGCTTTTTCCCCCAA